TTGCAAAGGCTTCTTAGAGTGGCCCTGAAAGAGGCCGAAACAGCGCAAGTCAGGGCTGAAGAGGGCTGATGTTTGGGCTCCCCAAAATTCAGGGCACCTTCTTGAGGTACCTACACTAGGGTTTATCGTATTTTGGGGGTCTATCTTGGGGCCTCTCCGCTATTTAGGGAAACTACCATGCCCTGCTATCCAGACCTCCGTCTGCACTGCGCCGTCGCAAGTTTTAGTTTGCATTTTGCTTATGAGACGTGAATCTCACGTGTTAACCCTGAACCCTAAACCCTTCTGCAACAGGCTTTCTGAGTCCACCCGGAAGGAAACCCTGAACCTCAAATCCGAACCATAGCATGGATCTGATGGACGTCAATCTGTCTGGCAGAGACCCCTGGACGCGAAAGATCCCTGCCTCTTACAAACAAAAATCTTCTTCTTTTAGCGATCCCTCGACTCTGACAAACCCTCATGTCGCAAGCACAGGGATGCACCCTGATGTTGTTCTTGGCGATGTCGCGGCACTTGAAGGGCCCGTTCGGGAGCGTAGAGCCTGAGTGAATCATAAGATGTCACCCCACTATTCTTACTCGTCTTGGGTTTGTCCACGAAGGCTTTAGCGTCTTTGGAACGACTCAAAACAGCGTCCCTGAGGTCAAAGAATCAACAAGACGCCTTCGGATGGTATACATAAACGGCTGTCGATGCGCCAGGACCCTTGGAACTCAAGGCCCTATAATGAGTAGCCTGCCTGCAGCCCCACTATCTGAGCTCCAATTTGTCCAGCTACTAAACGCCAACCCCTAAATCAGAATCCAACTATAGTCCCCCTTAAGTAGATACAATATGGGGTATAGGGGGATCTTAATATACTATACCTAAAGCCATATTCTATCTACTTAAGGGGGACCATAATTTAATGCAGACTGTTGAACCCTCAACACAAGCCTTGCGCAGATCCCTTGGGTGTCTACCCCTCTCACAGCACACATGAGCGAGGCCCTCCAAAACTAAGGGTAACATAGTAGGGGCCCTACAAACCTGATGAAGGGGTTGGGGTAAGTTCTACAGAACTAGATAAGGGTTTAGGGGTCAATGTTGGCAATTTTCGGATCCTGCATAATTACCCGCTGAAGCGTCCGGAATGCCTTAGCCTGCTGCCCTTTACCCTGCAACCCATCTTCAATACGGCTGAGATCAAGAATCCCCCATGAACTTAGTACACCAGAATGCCACAGTTCCCTGGGTGTAAACAGTTTAGGTCATGGAGGATTGCCTCCGCCATTTTCAGCATCAACAACATCATAGGACCACAAATGCGTTATAACAATGACATTGGAAAACTGAGGGTCCAGTAGGAACGAATGAAACCCGAAGAAGCCAAGGCCGCTGTTTAGGGTTCAGTGTCCATGTATTCGAGTCTTCCAGACGTTAAACCCCTTCCCCCCCCCCTATAGCAAAAGACTCCTCTATACTACGAGACATGGAGAATCCCGCGACCTCAAGCCTCATGCGCCAAGACCCGCCCGAGGTTCCCCCTTAACTAGAGGTATTTAGAATATTTTAAGGATACTTATAAAAGGAGGTAATTGTGCCGGGACCCCCCTAAACCCTAAACCCCAATCCCTATACCCTGAATTAACACAACCAAGCCACGCTTCTTGAAGCCCCCGGCTAGGCACTGCAGGACGTCTTTCAGCTTCGCTGTTTGCAAAGGGCTCACCTTCAGAGCCTGGCAGAATTAATTAGCGTTTTTTTGTGCTCAGTAAGATTATAGATATTCCTTATATAATATACTATACCCAAAACGAGGATAGAATCTCACTCTATATTGGGTACCATAGTATCCGCAAACAAAATACTATTCAATTGAATTCTTCCCCTCCCGCGAGTTGAGCACCGCACCCCGCAATTGTACCCATAGTAGCAGAAGTAAAAGTAGTACTCGTCATTTAGCAATAGCAAAATCAATAACTTCAAAATAATCATAAATGTTCCCAATAAGTGTATTGTGCCCGAATGGAAATGGAGGGCTCAGTTGTTATCGAGGGGCTGGGGAAGGTGTTTAATTATCGGGGAAGGGTTATCCAGGGACGCATTCCCCAGCAGCATTGTGTAGGGAGGTAAGTACCGATGATGTAGGGGTATAGGGTTTAGGGGTATATAGTATCATTGTCATTGTTGGTCCCCAAATAGGACAACAAATGACCAAATGTATACCCTCGCCAACTTTCTTGAGGAAGCCCGCCCGCACGCACGAAAACTCATAACTACAACCCTATTTCACATAGCTTTCCAGCAACGGTTGAGGTCCCCAACACAGATCTCCCAAATTACCATGGTCCTTGTTATAAGGACCCCCAATGATGGACCCAAAGTTTTGGGAAACTTCCATGTGTAGTAAACGCAGAAAGTGTTGGAACGGGATGTGGCAGCCTTCGGGGCCCAGGCCCTAGCAGCTCTTGCGAGGAGTTCTAAGGACCTAGAGGCCCACCATATCTAGGGATAATGGAAAATAGAATGGAAACAACTA